TTACCGGATACCACGCTGGCGTTGTGGGAACAAGGCATTGTGAGAAAGGCGCAAATTCCAAAGAGGGAGGAATAAGATAGCTTTCTCACAAGTCGGTTCCAGACGTTAGAAACGGTGTCCGATATCCGAAGTGCACGAGCAGTAAAGCCTGTACCTAATCGCCAACCCGCAACGACGTACGAAAGGAAGGTGTCGGCACACCACGGTCAGTTTTCGCAGCCCGCATGCAGATTATGCCCCGAACAATCTCATGCACTAAAGGGCTGCCCCAAATTTCTGGCAATGAAAGTTGAGGATCGCCTCAACTTAGTCAGAAAACACAACTTCTGTATGAACTGCCTAGCGCATTCACACATCGCGAAGGATTGCAAGAGTCCGTTTAATTGTTGGAGCTGTCATCAGAGGCATCATTCACTACTACATCGAACTATGAGGCCAGAGCCCTACTGGATTCTGGATCAGAGGGAACTTTCATCACGGAACGACTTCAGAGACTCATCAGGCTGCCAACACGTGCGGTTGATACGCAGGTATCGTGCATAAATGCCACGGTATCGGCAAATGTGCGAAAAGACGCGCATTTGGCTATAGGTTCTCCTGTAAACCCCCAGTTTAGAATCGAGGCAAGAGGTCTAGTTCTACCCCAATTAACAGGAAACCTCCCGAAGTTTACAGTGGATCAAGTGCATCTTGATTCACTACCTCCATTAAGGCTAGCCGATGTCAACTTCTACAGGAGTTAGCAAGTGGACCTAATTCTTGGAGCGGATGTCTACCCAGCGGTTATAAAGGAAAATGTGCAACGGAATGTTCTGGGATCATTTGTAGCGCAGGAAACGGTATTTGGCTGGATTTTGACGGGACCAGTACCACCCACGACCACAAGGAGTTTCACTACTGCTGTGTCTTATGGCACAGAAACTCCAACCCCCCAGCTAACTCGGTTTTGGGAGTTAGAAGAAGTTTCCACCAAAAGGAAAATTACCCCTGAAGAGGTGAGGAGTTGTACTCAAAGACGACGACGAGGAATGATCAAGGACGGTATGTGGTGGCTCTACCTTTTCGTCGAGAATTCCCAGACGAAATTAACCTCGGCTTTTCAAGGACTGGAGCAGCACGGCAATTCTTGCGCAGCGAGGCGGGTTATATCAGGAAACCAGAGTTGAAAACGGAATACGAACGGGTTCTGAAGGAATATACCGAGCTCAACCATATGTGCCCCGTGAGGAAAACAGCGCAACAACCAGCACACAGGCCGTATTACTTACCACATCACGCCGTCGTGAAACCGGACAGCATAACAACGAATTTGCGAGTGGTGTTTAACGCGTCTTGTCCCACGTCAAATGGAGTCAGCTTAAATGACATCTTATATCCCGGGCCTATTCTGCAAGCGGATTTGGTTTGCTTCCTTTTAAAGTGGCTCTTATTCAAATACGTATTTAATGCAGACATCGAGAAGATGTATAGGCAAATTATGCTCCATCAGGAGCATACCCCATTTCAAAGAATTCTTTTCAGAGAATCCCCGGTCGAAGAACTTAAGGATTACGAACTTAAGACCGTGACGTTTCGAGTAAACTGCGTTCCATATTTGGCAATAAGGACGCTACACCAGCTCGCAGATGATGTGAAAACGAGATTTCCACTGGCAGCAAAGATTTTGAAGCAGTATATGTATGTCGATGACGTCCTGGCTGGAGCCCACGATTGCACAACTGCAATTCAAATGCGAGATGAGGTAACTGAAGCTCTTAACACCGCCAACTTCCCCCTAAGAAAGTGGACTTCGAATTGTAAGAAGATTTTGACAGGACTACACAAGGCGCATATATACAAGGAGAATTTCTTGGAGCTTGACGACATGAGTGAGACAAAAATGTTGGGGATCCGTTGGAACGCGGTACATGACATGTTTCACTTCACCGTACAGCCGATCCCCCGGAAGCAGGAGTATACCAAACGAGAGGTTTCATCCTGCGTGGCAAAATTGTTCGACCCAGCTGGATGGCTCGGACCAATTGTAGTGGTAGCAAAGATCTTCATGCAGGAGATCTGGCTTACCAAAATAGACTGGGATGACAGTCTACCCCGAAATTTACTGCTACGTTGGGAAACGTTTCTGGATAACTATGAGCATATTCAGAAGATAAAAATCCCTCGATGGACCCATTTTACGCCATGGGACGAAGTAGAGTTCCATGGATTCTGCGATGCCTCTGAAAAGGCATATGCAGCCGCACTATATATTAGGGTACGCGATCGCGCATCAAACAATGCGCCCCACATAAACTTGCTGGTGGGTAAAACTAAAGTAGCACCAGTAAAAACGAGGTCTCTCCCCCGGTTAGAGCTCTGCGGAGCATTATAACTGGCCGAACTAATTAATACTTTTATTCCGCAGTTTGAAGTCACGCAGCCAGTAATATACAAATGGACCGACTCCACGATCGTTCTCTCATGGCTGAGGAAACCGGCATGTACATGGACAACGTTTGTAGCTAACAGAGTCGCAAAAATTGAAGAGCTGGTTGGAGTATCAGGGTGGAATCATATGGACTCTCCAGCGGAATCATGTGGATAATCCAGCGGATCTTGGCAGCCGAGGCGTGTCCCCCCAGGATTTACTCTCAAACACTCTGTGGTGGTATGGACCTAAGTGGTTGGAGCAATATTCATCTACTTGGCCCCACCAAACCAATAGAAATCCATTAGAAACCGACCTGGAGCAAAAAATGGTACGGGCTCATGCGGCAGGCATCTCCGAGGAAACGGACATTCTGGAGCGGTTTTCATACTTCTCGCGAGCCATGAGAGTAATTGCGCGAATTTTCCGATTTTTTAGAAAAACTCATCCGGTGCATAAGTTGGCCGCTAGTGACGAGACCGACGAAATAACCGCCGATGAAATCAAGCAGGTAAAATGTCGTCTCATCCTTATTGCACAGAGGCATCACTACGCAGATGAATACAGGGCCATCAACGCTTCAACGCCAATCAACGCGAAAAGTTCTCTTCGCGCTCTCAACCCCTTCCTCGACAGGAACGGAGTTATGAGGGTAGGAGGACGACTGGCGTTAACGAACTTACCTTACAGTGAACGGTATCCAATAATTCTCCCGTACGACTGCCAGTATTCAAGATTGCTCGTAAGATTCACTCATCTGATTTCCTTGCATGGAGGAAACCAGCTCATGTTGAGAATTCCGCGGTCCGAACACTGGATAGTGCGAATGAAAAACTTGATTAAAAATTCAATTCATAACTGTAAGGTTTGTGTTATTTACAGAAAGAAGGCGCGGGAGCAGTTGATGGCAGCGTTACCACCGGAACGAACTGAGGTATCCAGACCCTTCACCAACACTGGAGTCGACTTCACCGGTCCTTTCGAAATACGGAGTTTCACGGGTCGAGCGTGTCGCATTACCATGGGCTATGTCTGCGTTTTCGTCTGTTTTGCGACAAAAGCAATACACTTGGAGGCCACCAGCGATTTGTCCACCGCCACATTTTTAGCAGCTTTTACGCGTTTCGTGTCTAGACGCGGCTGCACGCAAAATGTGTATTCGGACAATGGAACCAACTTTGTAGGGGCAAATAAGGCATTGCGACAGGATCTAAAACTCTTTGTCTCTGCAGCGGCCAACAGCACAACCCAGACATACGCTCATCAGGGCATTACGTGGCATTTTATACCTCCAGGAGCACCTCACATGGGAGGGCTCTGGGAAGCGGGGGTAAAAAGCTTCAAAATGCATTTCCGGAAGGTAGCAAATAACATGCGTTTTACCATTGAGGAGCTCTCCACGCTTCTGGAAAGAATCGAATCTTGTCATAATTCACGACCAATCAGCCCCATCTCTGAGGACGCGGAATCAATGGAGCCTCTAACCCCAGGACACTTCTTAATTGGCACCCCGCTACTGGCAATTGCTGAACCCGAAATTAAGGAGAACCCGATGTCTATTGTCAACCGGTGGCAAAAGATCAAAGCAATTCACCAAACATTCTGCAGAAGGTGGAAAGCAGAATACCTGAAGGAGTTACAGAAGAGAGTGAAATGGCACTCCCCCAGTCGTCGTCAAAGAGGATAACCTCCCCCCAAATGAATGGCGACTTGGCAGAGTAATTAGGGTCTTGTCAGGTCAGGACAGCCGAGTACGAGTCGTAGAAATACGAACGGCACGCGGAATCATAACTCGACCACTTGTAAAAGTGGTACTTTTGCCAGATTGACAAACCAAAGCAATAATCGTATCTCTCTTTACAGAACTCAATAACGCAAAATGGTACGTGCAACCAAAAGCAACACCCAAACTAACAAGGGCCAATACCGCTGCCCAGTGTGCCGCAGCAACCACCGCCTGGCTTTTTGTCGCGAGATGCGCAGGATGGAACCGGCCGAGAGACTGCGTGCTGTCCTCGTGCACCGCCACTGCGCCAACTGCCTGTCGGCGACGAATTGCGCATCCCCTCGAAAATGCGAGCATTGACGAGACCGGCACCATAGTCTCCTCCACTTGGGCGAGACACCCCGGGGCGAGGAAGACTTGCCGCCCGTACCGGAAGAGCCCGAACCAAGACAGAGGCGACCGTTCCGTCCGTACAACATCCGGCCATTAGCCGAAACGAGCGACGAAGGCGAGGTGCTGGAAATCGACACCGATGAAGAAGACCTCCAACCAGCATCGGATGATGGTCCCGAGCTTAGCGCACCGCCGGCATTCAGACCTGCTCTGTCGGGTGTCCGGTCGGTAGTGCAGCGAGCCCCAGCAACGAGGTCTGAAGGGTAGTGTTGTTAAGTGAAAAAACTGCTCAATTGTGAATTGTTAATGGAAAAGTGGAGAGGGAAATATTTGTTTTCGTATATACATGGTATATATTTTAAAGAAGTATATATATTACGCGAATACCTCACATAATTACTAATTTCTATTTTTTTTAGTGTCTACATCCCGTTGAACTAATCACATGTTTCTTGCCAGCTACCGGCAGGGTTGCTTAAGTAGCTAAAAGGAAATTTTACCCGAGTGCAGCGTTCTTTTGTCGCTCGCTTAAAAAAAAAATGCAGCTATAGTTACAATACAAATTCTGGCACTGCACTGAACTCAAACCTTTTACCGACAAACATAACAGAAGACAGACATAGCATAAGAGGAATCAGTACGGCAAGCAAAAGCAGCGTTAAGAGTGTCGGGATTAATTGAACATTCACGACAGTCACTGACATGCACATGACGAATTTTTATATTACTCCACAAAACATTATTCCGGAGAAGAGGGTTTAGCATTTTCGAGAAGTACTTACGGTTTTCACGCCTAAATAAAGGCCAGTATGCAGCTCTCAAGAAAAGCAAAAACTCCATTAAAAATTACGCACAGGAAATAGGTAAGAAATTATCTTGGGTAAAATATCCTTAAGGCAGTACGCAGTTCTCAGAAATTTGCTCGCTTTCTATTGTGGTTTTCTAAAATTGTTGGTGAAAAAGATCACAAGGCAACCCATGTTGCAACATTTATGCCCGTTCCATTATTTCTTGAGGGAAGAGTTTCAAATATCAGATGTCAAAATTCCAATTGAATGTACATACGTATGTATGTATGTATGTGTAAAAATATATGTACATATATCACGTTTGTGTACATTACATTAAACACTTTTTATACACTTTACGTGAATAGAAAAAGAAAAGGATATAAGCAAAGATGTGAAAGATAAAAACAAAGATGAAGACCAAGTTAAAGTTACCGATTTCAAAACCAGAAACACCGTTGGAAAGTAATTTTCTGTAGATGAGGAGAGTTTTTATAGTTTCGAAATTGGTTGAAAATCGTCGTTTAAAAATGTCCATATTTGTTAATGGTTGTTTTTGCAACCTGTTCAATTCAAGCGTTTCGCATTTTGTTTTACTTCGTATTTTAAAATAAACTTTGAAATAAAGATATATATGAAGATGAAGAAACAAGTGATAACGATGAAGACAAAAAAAAAAGGCAAAAGTGAAGATAAAGACGAAAATTGAGATAAAGGCGAAAATTGAGACAATGAAAAATACATAAGAACTAGGTTAACAGAGCTGAAATGTTCCGATAGGAATCGAAATAAAATTAGCCATAAAGCTTACTGAAATTTATCGAATCATCGAAGTTAGTTATCGCAACGTATCGAATTATTCAAACTGATCAATGTTTACTGAGTTGTCGAAACACAGAAACCTTGTTGTCCAAATTTACGGATAGTTATCGAGCTATAAAAACGTGTGGGATTAATGAAATTTGTCAAGTTAAAGAAATGTATCAAGTTATCGATATTTATTGAATTATCATTATTTATAGACTTAACGAAATATATCGAGGTGTGGTAATGTATGGAGTTCTTTCAACTTACAGAGTTATCGATAATTATTGATCTACTGAAATTGGTTGATTTATCGAATCGAAGTTTATGGAATTTTCAAAACATATCGATTTATCGAAATTTCAAGGTTATATAAGCTTATCGATTTATCACTGCTTATCGCATTTAATCGTCTTAACAGAGTGTAACGAGTTATCAAAATGGTTAGATAGTTTTCAAAAAATGTGGAGATGTCAAAAGTAAAAAGTTATAAAGGTATCCAAAGTTTTTAAATTTTTGAGTTATCTATGTTTATCGAGCCATCGAATTTCACAGTTATCGAAATTGGTCGAGTTAACGAATTTTGTTGAGTTATCGAATTTTAGTGTTCTTGAAATTCATCGAACTATCGATATGTATTAAATCATTGAAATTTATCGATAAACTTGAATGTATTGGGTCAATTCCAAGTCCTGCCGAAGTCCTCCAAAGACCTTCTCAGATAAAAAAAAAATTTAGTTACGTTTTAGCAGAAGATTTTTCGGTTAGTTAATTTGTACCGTATAAGTTTTGCTGCGTGTTAACTTAGAAATTCTCTCCAAGGCTTCCAAAACTAGAAAAACTGTCGAATTTCGACAGTAACTGGCCCTCTTGTTATGTATAAAACCTTCGCAGGTTAACCACGTAAGACATTGTCAGACAGCAGTTGCGGCGTGGAACAAGTTGAATAATGCTCATCAGCCTGGAGGTCCTGCAAGAAGGGTTACACTGTTTTGATAATTATTGGGTCAGAGATTTTCAGAAGACGATAAGATTTCAAACCACACAACGGAGTTTTGCGAAATTAGTGAGAGGTTGGCTGAAATAGGAGTACTAATCCCAGAGAAGGTATCAGTCATAATTTTGCTGGCAAGTCTGCCAAAATCCTATGTGAACTTCGTAGTAGCCATTGAATCGCGTGATTATTTGTCGTCTCTGAATATACTCAAGGTTAAATAAATAAAAAATAAATATTCAATCGCAGCAGGCTTTAGTAGCCAAAGCAAAGTTTCAAAAGAATCCAAGCAGTGGCACAGCAGAGCAGCAAAAAACGAAAAACCATGATAGAAACAAACAAGGAGGAAAATGTTACAATTGCGGAAAGTATGGTCACTTTGCCGCACAATATAGAGAGCCGCGGCAAGAGCAAGAGTGGAGAACCGGAAGACTGAAAACTCTTTAGCTATTCTCTCTACGGTTTCATCATATAGAATTCGTCCTGATGTATGGTGTATTGATAGCGGGGCAACAGCACCCCTTTGTTGTGATCGCTCGTTATTTGTCACATATACAGAGAGAAACGAAAGGATAGAACTCGCAGGCGAAAAGCATTTAGAAGCAAAAGGGATAGGTGAAGTGCACCTAGAAAACAGTAAATTTCGACTAGGGTTGAAAAATGTTTTGCATGTTCTTGATCTGCGATGCAATATTGTTTCTGTGAGCAAAGCATGTGAGCACGGACTTGTAAGTTTTGAAGCAAGAGAGACTTTTGTGAAGGACAGAGACGGTGTAATAATATTGATAGCGCAGGAAGAGGATGGTTTATTTGTAGTAAAGTGTTAAAGAATTAAAGAAACAAGTGCTTTTATACGAAAGGCGAACACGATGAAGCGAAAGTGTGGCACCATCGCCTCGGTCATTTGAATTTTGACAGCCTGAATGAAATAATAACCCGAAACCTAGTTCATTGACTAAACATGAAAAGGATGTTTAACAGAGTTGACTGTGTGACTTGCTCGAAAAGTAAGTTAAATATTAAACCGTTCGCTAAGTTTTCAGAAAACCGTGCAAAGAAATTGTTAGAAATCGTACACTCGGACGTATGTGGTCCAATAAATAAAAGTTCTATTGGTGGGATAAGATACTTGATAAATCTCGATATGAGTGGATATTTTCTAAAATCTAAAGCTGAAGTTTTTAATACTTTCAAAGCATTTAAAGAGATGAGTGAAAGAAAACTGAGAGCTAATTAAAAATACTTAGAAGCGATAATGGTTGCGAATACCTTAGTGCTTAGCTCGATAAATGGAAGATGTGATTGTGATCAAGGCGAAAATTTCAAATGAGTTCAATGTAGTGGGCGGCGGCCCACTAAGGTTCTTCCTAGGCATAGAAGTTGAGCGCGAAGGCAACACTGGTGCAATATCCGTCTGCCAGAAAAAGTATATTGTAGATTTGCTGAGTCAGTATGGACCGCAAGATTGTAAGGCTGTGGCCATTCCGTTAACCGCGGGGTTTCAAGTAAGCTGTGAAATGAAGGATGCCGACGCGTAAATCCTACTAATTAGACAGGTCCACAAAAAAATATATGAAAGGC